TGCGTGGTGCTTAGCTGCTGGCTGGGGCTAAACCACAACAAGTCCTAAGAGGTTCTTTCTTTCCTTTTGATTGATTGTTGGGTCAGGTTGAAGAGGGTTATGTATAATTGTGTTCCCTTACTGACTTTTAGTAAACACACTTATTACAAAATTTTGCTCAGTGTTTTTAAATAACTACTTTTAAGGGGAGTGAGAGAAATTGGTCACAAAAGCAAGCAAGATCAGGTATTGTCATGGTTCCTTCTTTCAAGTAAAACCCGTATTTAAGGAAAACACAGTTTTCATGTTTCTGAGTGAGATTTAAGAAGTTTAGTATTACTTGGAAGAAGCTTAAGCACCCATTTAACTGACAACAAACACAGGAGAAATACATATTTGTGTGAAAGCATAGCAGGAAAAAAATGGGGATCGTAAGTTTCAGTAGCCAGAAATGGGACCGTATTACAACCATGATAAAATAGGGTAGAACCCAGTTCAAGGGGGAGATTTTCAAAACTTGCCAAGGTTAATGGAGGTTGTGGTTAGTTCTCTTGAAGTCTTCAAGGCAATTTTGGATCTCATGCTATAGTGCAGTGGTTACTGGGAGCAACATTTTGGTAGAAATTATGCAGGAGGTTGGGCTGGATGGTCAAGTTATGGCCTTTTTTTAGGCTTGAGATGTAAAAGTCTGTTTAGTAATTGCACAGTAGTGGCACTTGAGTCTATTTCATCAGTTAACTGAAGCGAGTCTGTCAAAAACACTTTATTCACTTGGACTATAGTTGCATCTGTGAATTACGAGGGAAGAAAGTGGGGGGGGGGGGGGGGGGGAAATGGCTTTGGGGTTTTTGTTTTGTTTTACAGACAGGAAAATTGAGAATCTACAGTTTGGTGGCTGCAGTGGATTCCATCACATTGGTAGCTCATACCAATAATGGTAGGCAAAGATGTGTGCTATGTTTCCAGGTTGGTTAGTCAGGTAGTCCAAGGCAGCAAGAATTGCTTCAAGAGCAACATGGTTGATCTTTTGCCCCTGTGCCCTTTCACATCGGTGAACACATGTGTGTGTTGGTGGCATCTAACTGGGTCAGTGGGGCAGATGTGGGTGTTGGGTGGGAGTAGTACTTTCCTTGGCAGAGAGCGTGTAAGTAAAATGGAGACAAAGAGTTCTACCAAAAAAACAACCCACTGAAATTGTATTCCCAGGAGACATGGGGATTAAAAAGCTAAGAGCTCCCTCCTCCTCAGGTTCCACCTGTGGGTCAGGGAATTAGTTAAAGTTCCTTCTAAATGCCACCTAAGATAACAGTGGGAGAAGTGGCAAGGCAGAAAATGTTCTGAAGCAAACTGGAAATGGAAGACTAGAAGCAATGGATTAGGGTCATCTTCAGGCTCACCCAGAAGAAGGAAAAGTCTTTAACAAAGTAGGTCAAAGAATATACAATTTTGTAAAACTAAAGTGAGTCAGGAGTGGTTGGAGACACAAGATGGAATGAAAACACAGATTACTATATAGCCTGCTAACCTGTCTGTCAGCTGGACGTTTGAGGCATTTGTACAATAGTCGTCTTTAAGGCACTGATTTTATGAACAAAGCAGCAAATGTTGTATTATGTCTTTGAGGCTGAAAAAAGGCTGTTGCTGTTTGCCAAGGTGAGTTGGGGGCTGGGAAGGAAATTGAGTGCAGAGCTACATACTTCTGAATCATCCAGGGGAATAAGGGAGGCATCCTTAGATTCACATTACTAATATTTCCTGTTCAAAAGCAACAAAGAATGTCTCTAAAAATCTTGGGGAAAAAGTAGTTTGAGTTCTTACTGTTAAATTAAGGCATGCTGCA